GACACGTCAGGTTAGTCTCCTCTAACATCACGGAGTCCATCCTCTTTGGTTGCTTTCAACTTAAAAATCAACTCAATCCATAGATTTCCCCCCCCCCCACCCCCAAATAATTGATTTGGCATGTTCATTACGATGGCCCAGCACATGACTGACTCACTGAATGTTTCATTTTTTCACTGGATGTTTGGCACATACCCCTGGATACTATAACTATTCCACTTTTTTTGTTTCTCCTCATTATACATGAAGTGCTGGACAGAGGCCATCCTTTCTCATTGAACACTGATATTCTCTTTCCCCCTTTCATGGAATGTGTTGGACTGTGCACAGGACCTGAATGTGAGAATAGGTGAATTAGCCCTGAGTTTTGACTTGGCTGCCATCTGCATTTCTATAGTTGTCACAGCCCACGGACCTCAGTTTCTGTACCTTGAAAATGGGGATGGCAAAGCTTGTACATTTCCAACAGAAAGCATGTTGAGGATTAACTGAGTAGGCCTCAAAAGCTCCAAAAGAAACCTAAGAGAAGCAAAATCTTGTCCACACAACCCAAATGCTGACCCTCTCTTGGATACCAACTGTGCTCATCGCAGTTTCTAAATAGGAAAACACATATAAAACCTCAAACTAGATCTGTGATTGATTGGTGATCAACTGTGAGCCCAGCTGTTGGTGAGGCACAGGGTACATAAACAAAATGTCCAAATCACGTCTCATCTATTCATCAGTTACATGCCCCATGGAACTGCTGCGTTCAGAGCAGTGGCCTGACCTGACAGCGGGGGCAGCAGCAGTGGCTTTCTAGACCAGCGCTGTCCAATATACAGTAGCTCAGCGGCTCTCGCTACATTCCAAGTGCTCAGAGCCATCCATGCTAGTGGCTACCATAATGAACAGTCCAGGAAGAGCACATTTCCACCAGCACAGACGGTCCCACTGGACAGGGCTGCTTGACCCTGACAAGCTTCCCTCTTCTGCCCACTCTAACAATCTTTACAGTAGCATCAGCGAGTCCATCTCACACACGTGAAGAACAGTTACGAGGAATAGTGCATAGGAACAAGTGTCATGTTTTCATACTTTCTTTCACTCAAACCCATCATGAGAGGGTAAGGGGAACCAAACTGCATGTTACAGAGACATTGATCAACCAGTAATCAATACCTAATTTTTAAAAATATCAAATCATTTCCTGGCTGGTGTGGCTCAGTTGGTTGAGTGTCATCCCATGCACTGAAAGGTTGCCAGTTGGATTCAAGGTCATGGCACATTCCTGGGTTGTGGGCTCGATTTCCTGATAGGGGGTGTGCAAGAGGCAGATGATTCATGTTTCTCTTTCATGTTAATGTTTCTCTCTCTCCCTCTCCCTCTTTCTTTAAAAACCAATAAAAAATTTAAAAACCAGAGAATCATATCATGGGACAGGGTCCAAAATATTCTATTTTCCTTTATGTGTGAATTTCAGTTGATTCATGGTCTGCATATTCAGGAATTGACCACTCTCCCCCATCCCCTCACTCCCATTCCCCTGTGAATTAAAGGCTGGTTTTATTATAGGTCCAATTCTTCCTTGTTTACAGTATCACATCTAGTAGATAAAGAATGCAACTTTGGCAGAGATTTGTTTTGCATGTTATATATGCAGGAAAGGGTAAACATCACATATAGATGGAAGCTAAATGGCTTAAAGTGCATTGTTTATCATGCCTTATTTTATTACAAATTTCACATATATCTCATATCTAACAGGAACAGACCTCACACTCCCATAAAAAGCCCACAAACCAAGCTATTGAAAGAATAATATTTAAGCATAGCATTCATAAAATAGGTAATAGAATTATAGAGTTGGCAGGTTACATAAAACTGTCAGAGATATGAATGTTAAACCATCTCTTTTCAAAAATGAGAAAACTGAAGTCGAGAGAGGTATAGTGCCACAAAGTTGCTTGATAAGTGATGGAGTCAGGATTAGAACCCAGCTCCAAGACCTGGACCCAGGGCTTATTTTGACATCTTGTTCTTTGCCCTCCTCTGACAAGGAGGATGAAGATGAGCTGGGAAGGGCGGGGAAAAGGGTCGGTCCTTCTGGCACCTGGCCAGCACCTTGGCCATCGGGACACTGCCTTATATGGGAGACTCCCTTTCTTCTTCGCCTGCACCAGCAGAGCATCTCCAGTGTTCCATCTGGCTTCAAAATTGCCACCCCCAGAGTAACCTAAATGCCTGATCAATGGGATTTCTGAACCTAGAGGACAGGTGGTCTGTCCTGGTTAATTAATGGGCGCCTCTACAATGTCTTCCTTATGAAAACTCCTTCTTTCAATGACACCTTGAAGAATCATAGTTGTAGGGGTCTGTAAATCTCCTGAGAAGTGACATTCTGCTCAGTCTGTAGCATTCATTAAATTATCCAAGATGTCCACAGTGGAAAAAAGTTAAGTCTGTCTATCAAGGGCGAAGAGAAAGAAAAATCAAAGAACCCAGGAAAACTGGTATAATGGCCACAAGGTGCAATAAACACCGATTCAATAGAAGTAATGTAAATGAAAGAGATTGTAATGCTCAGGAAGCCCAGAAAGAAACAGGATGAAGATAAGTTTCCCTTGTCTCTTTCTTCATTCATTTGTTTAAATTCTAAGAGTTACAAATGGGCACCTGCAGGTTGGTGATAAGGGAGGCCCCTCCCCTCCCTTCCCTGGCACTGCATCGGGGTACAGGCTGACTTCCCGCAATGGGGCAGGACACCCAATGCCAGTCGGCTCCATGACTAGTGGCGCTGTCTTGCTGCCTACACAGCTGTAGTGGTGGTAGCTGTTAAAAGGGGGCAAATCAGCCCTCCAGTAACCAAGGTCCTTGCCCTTGTACAGGATTCCTGCACTCTTCCTCATATATCTAAACTAGGATGTGCCACAAGAAGAATGAAAAAGGACCCCTGATACCACCAACTCGCATGGAAATGCAGCACCCTCATTAGATGACATCATGCGAGAACCAGGACCAAGACAGGAAGGCGGCAACTTCTGCTTCTGCAGAGATGCGGCTGGGGCTCTGGGAAAAAATGTGGCCATGGAGGAGGCACAGGTGGGCTGTAGCGAGGAGCAGCAGCTGGACCCATGAGAAGTCGCTGCAAACACTTATTGTCTCTCCCAGGAGGGAAGTGACACCCTCAACATCCACCAGAGCCAATGACAGCAGTCAGCAACTCATTCCATGCTAAGGCAAGAACTAAATGGAATCATAGCTATACCTTCCATTTCAATATTTGGGGAAGATATCTAAGAATATGTCCTATTCAGTTAAAACAATAGAATTGAGAAATGCCATATATCAAGTAGCAGGAAATGTTCACAGGAATCTGTGATACCAGCTATAATTTTGGACTTAAAATGACATTGAAAAATGTGGGAATAGAAATCATGAATTTTAAAAATGCCTGTTGAACCAGATATGAGGACAAGTGAGCCACTAGTATGTTTGCCCTGTAGCTTCTGACTATTGATGCAACACAGTTCATCTGGTTTTTAAAATCGTTTCTCCGTGTTTCAGGAGTCTACCCATTGGTATCAGCCTTCTAAAAAGAGAATGCTGGTGTAACCCTGACTGGGTAGCAAACATTCCAGATAAGAATATTTTGGCAGATTTTTAAAAAAAGAAACTTTCACTGGTGTTGACTCAAAACTGTTTTGAAAATATGATGTTAAACCTCTCCAATATCAAAAGGCAGGAAATAATGATTTATATATTTTATTTTGACTTTACATGCGGTGTTAAAAACCCAAAGTACATATTATTTACACATCCACAATACAAGTTTACAAGATATCTATACATGTTAAAGTACTCTATAAAACAGTATAGAGCCACTTCACTTTAGGGTTACTTTTTATGCCGTAACATTAAAAAAGATACAATCTGTGTTTACCTTTGCACAAATGGATAAAGCATTTAAAAATTAAATTAACAGGATAGAGACTAGATTTAATGTTAGAAATCTCAACATAAATACTGAAAGAACTCACATTACAAACGACAAGGCAGCACAATGTTACAACATGTTACCGGGAATCACACAGAGTTCCCGCTCCGTTTTCCGCACGCCAGGATTAATATTGGTAAGGTGAACGCAAACACGTTTGTCGGCGGTGGACTGAGTAGTGTTTATCGTTGGTTGGTTTAATTTATTATTAATCTGTAATATTTTAGTTGCAAAGATGAAGTGTATCAAGAACAGAAGTTTTAGCTTTTGAGCTTCCAGAGATCTCAGGGAACTGTGTTCTGTATAAAACAATATTCTCAAAGGAAAAGCATAACTGTATCAGTATTCTACATCTTGTATAAAAATGCTCTGGTCTTCTGACCCATCCTCCCCCAGGAAATGTATATCATCAGCATTATCACAAGGAATCAGCTGAACTTACTTGTCTGACTTGCTCAGGAGCATTCCTCTGCCTTGTGACTATCTAGGTTGGGGTCAATAAACCACCGTGTCACTTGCAGCATCGTAGCTGAAACAGCCATTGGATTGCCCATCAACAACTGTACGTGGCTTCTGCAAAGCTACGAATCAATGACTCTATGGTCTCCGCAGGTGTCCCAGGACCCAGGAAACCTCATTTGACTTCACAGTGTCACTGTTTCATCCTTAGCAAAGCAGGAGTGGAATGTTTACCATGGAAAGGACATAATGCTGCAATTGGGGTGGACTGCTTAATGGTTCTAGGTTGTTTATTTGATTTTTTTTAAAAGTCTCTTCAGGTGCTGGTTGAAAAACATTTACAACTGGCACTCAGTAAATGATGTGCTATACTGAAAACACTTGACAGATTTTAGTACTTCTATCATTCTCATGAATAAGGCACAAAATGCACAGATTCAGGTAAACCACATGTAATATTTACAGTATATTGTCATTACCTGCATGACTTAGGAGGAAATTCTCACACAACACAACATAGACAACGTGATTGCACCACTGTTAGGTTTTCATAGACTGTCTGTTAAGCCAATTACAATTCTTTTCACATTTCCCTCTATTGTCTTTTTTTTTTTTTTTTCAATTTTAAATCTTGGGGGTAGGAGGAGTTAAAGGAAGAGAAATTTTAATACATGGGAAAAACCAAACACAATCAAACTAAAACCTTATTAGTGTGTCAAAGGTTAAATAGAGTGACTCAGTCTCGGATTCACAGTGGACAGGTAAGTTTTACTACTGAATACTGTTGGATAAATCAAGGATACCTCTTAACATCTCTATCTCCTTAAGCTGGCAAGACTGTAATAGAAGTTTTAATGAATAGCAGCACAAAATTACTTAGAACTCTTACATTCTGGCATTGGGTACCATGTAAGTCAATCATAGTGATGGTCAAATCAGCCTTCATTTTATTTATTTCTAAAAGCTGAACCCAATGGACTGCTGTGGGAAGTAGTTATTGTCTCTTGTTCAGTCATGCTCTATGTAAACAACTCCATAGCACAAAAAGATGCAATGGGCACCTAACCACATCCTAGTGGGTACAGGATGCACCCACACGCACACACGCACACACACACACACGCACACACGCACATGTACACACACACAGTTCATTGGTGGCATGAAAAAAATTGCCCCACATGAAAAAAAAAATGCTACAGTTTGGGTCAAAGACTGAATATTTAGCAAATTGTTTGGTAATCTACAAGTTTGTTTCTTTGAGACATTACCATTGTTTTTGACATTTGTGCAAGAGGCAAGGTGAATGCATACATATTAAAATGTTCACATTGAATGGGAAGACCACCCATAATAATGGCAGTCTAAGTTGAACCCATTTTCAAGTATTTGCTCACAGATTCTTCTGCACACTGTACCAGCTCTTTACCCTGGGAAGGTAGCCCCTCGGAGCTGGAGCTATACTTCTCTTCAGCTTCAAACAAAAGAAATGGAATGGCCAGCACCTTCCTTTGTTTCCAGGCAAGTACACAGAAGCCTCGCTGCAGTAGCTACATGTGGCAAGTTCCGATGTTGCCAAAGTGGGAGAGTTTCTTTGGCCACTTGGTTCTCTTAAAAGACAAGTGAGTCTCTTATCTTAAGGTACCCTTACAACATCATCCTCGCAACAACGTGGACAGCAAAAAGCCACACGGGGAACAGCACACTGGAGGCCTAGTAAGTGTATTTGTTCAGTGGTCTGACAGAGGTGGTTTGAGGAGCAAATGAAGGCTTTGGTGGCACGTCAGGTTTTAAGGACGGTGTCCTCTTTAGCCCCGTCCTAGGAAGGGTGCCATTACTGGTGTAGCTGCTCTGTCTGGAGAGGGAAGGTTGCAGGTGAACACTCACTGGTGTGCCCTGAATGTAGTCCACCTTCGCCCCTGTGGGTGTGGGCATGTACCCACCACGGTTCATGCTAGACTGTCTCGATAACAAAACACCATTGGGTGAGTTTAAGTTTTTAGGCATGGCAGATATAGAGTGCCTCTGGGAGGAGTTTTTGTGGTAACCTCTTTGTCTTTCCAGAGAGGTCATGGGGACCCCAGGAGTGGTGGGGACGTCCACTCGCTTGGTTGGGCTATTTCTAGGGAGAGTTGAAGGAGGAGAGTAGAGCGATGCCTCCCGGTTAGGGACCTTGGGAGGGACCTCAGACATAGGTCCCACGGGATCCAGCATTAGGGTCTGGTGGGCCATCTGGATGTCTCCCATGATGGCTTTGGGGTTACTATTTGGATCATTCAGATGCTTCAGGAGATCATTGAGGGTATTCCTGGAATCCACAGAACGCCGGTGATCTCTTTTACTGGAGGACTTCGTAAGAGGGTGGTCAATGTGTTGAAGCTTCTTTTCAGCTTTGTGAGCATTGGAGTTTGAGAAGGACGTGTTGTAGTCGTGGGTAGCGTTAGGAAGAACAATGGCACTGGGGATATGCCCGTGACTTAGTGGGGAGTGGGGTGGAGGACTAGAAGGAAAAAACTGGGGGGTTTCTTTCCTTGAAGCTCCATGGCCATGGGCCTTGTCTGAGTGGCTCTTCATGGCCTGCAGGGTCTTCTGGTGCAGCACAGGCGTGGACTCAGGCGTGGGGAGTGCAGCCAGCTCAGGGGGTTGGCCTCGATGGTCCATGACCATGGTTTTAGTATCTCCGGTGGGCGGCAGCTCTTTCCGACTGGTCAGCAGGTTACTATACAATTTGGGAGAATCAATATTCTGCTGATATTCCTTGACGGGGCTGTCAAAGAGACCATTCAGTTTAGCAAAACTCCCGCTGGAGTCTGTGCACGACTGGGCAGACTCTGCATCTTTGTGGATCTTCCGGTTTTTCCGAACGAACATATCACGATAGCAGTACACAGCCACCCCTGCAATGAACGCACCCAAAACAAAAGCGGCAAAGACACAGGTGATGAGGACATTCATGTGGACCATCTGGTTGGACTCTCCAGACTGAACTTCCCATCGGACACCTGCAACAGACACAGGGAGAGAGTCTCGGTGAGGTGCTCTGGAAACAATACCTGCCAGCAACGGCTTCCACTGAGCCAGCGCTGGCTGCACGGTCTCTATGCTTAGCTTGGAGGATGAGGTAGACTCTGAAATTCCATATATATTTTTTTCTTTAATTACAATGGGATCCCCAGAGACACCTGATTGCTGCAAATGCCAGGATAACTCTAATCTCCCATTGATCTGTATTCTCTGTCTTCTTTCCCCCACCTCCTCTTAAACAGTTGTTATAAAACAGAAATTTTAAGCGTTCCTACCTAAAAATTAGAATTATAAAGTGTACATTTTCTAAATGACCTGTTTTAAACTCACAAAATGTTTTATCTCATGGTTTTCTCCTAATTCATAAATCTGGATTAAAAGGCAGCTGCTAGAATTAAGGACATGCATGAATTGGCATAAATATATATTATGCTAACATAATTATGCTACCTTAACTGGAATAAAAACCCATAACTTATTCACAAACTAAAAGCATCTGCTTGGTCATTGTTAGCTACAAAGACAGACATTTGTGTTTCCTTTGATTTTTTTTTCATTCCATTTTGGGGCGAAGCACTCTTGGACTGCCTGCTATGAAAGAAATCTAAACAGTCTCAGGAAATATACTTTGCATTTGTTAAGTAATATGATTCAAATATCTTGAGATATTTAGAAATCTTTAAGTTAGACTAGAAGAAGAGTAAATTAGTTTTAATTATTGGGATTTTTAATGCAACCACAGACATCTAACAGTCAACCAAAGAAATGTTAGTTTAAGAGGTATCCAAGTCTGTTACATGCTATAAACACAGCTATCCCAGAATAAGGGAAGTCAGAGTGATTCTGAAGGCTTGGTGGCTTTAGGTTAGTACCAAGACCTTGGAATGTTAGTCATTTTTAATCATGTCCAGGGTTATGAGATTGAGTGGCATTTTGAGAGACAAAGAATAAAGGTAGAAATGGTACTACTAAAGAAAACAAAGCAGAAAGAATGATGGTAAAATTGTGTACAGTGAAAATTTATAAAACCAAAATAAACAGGTATAAATCATAAATGACAATGTACGGTCATAGAAACTGATTAGAAACCTGATTCCAAAGATGAGTAAGCGCTAAAGAATTGATTTTTCTTTTTTCTGGAGAAATATATCTCATTAGCCTGCTCCATAGGCAGCTATGTTACAACTGCTTCTATGATGGGCTGTTATGTTTTACTGCTTGTAGCATTCAAGCAATTTAGCACCTCACATGTCCTTTTCATAATGCATTTTGAACGGTAGCTAAACAAAAGAGTGGGACTGATTCTTAGGTAAAAATATCTGATATCTGGGTATTTGCAATTAATGAGTTTTGGTTTTTGATGGCTGAATGACCCTCGAAATTCTCTGATATCTAGAAGTCTCCAGCATCTTCAGACAGAAAACAACAGATTAGGTTGTCTAAGTGGCCGTTTCACCACCCTTTCTTTAACAGCTTTCCACCTCTTTCATCTTTTAAGGAATGCACTCCAACATATCCACAGAAAACGGAAGTGACTGCGGCCAGCGGAGGCGGTTGTGACACAGGCAGCAGCCCCTCTGGCTCTCCTCTGGAGAGCCCTAAGTCCTAGACTCCAGAGCTACTAGGAATCAGGTTTCCACTCAGTGAGCGATGAGTCTCCTGGTGAGGCCTTACCCTTTGGGATACCTGATAAAGGATCAGTAAAATCAGAAGTGTGTGGGTCATCTTGAACTACAAATTTCCGGGAGCTCGTCAGTTTAGGTCTCCAGGTATCAACCACTTTGCGTGTGATTTGTGGGGTACTTGCTACTGTGGTAACAGAAGATGAAGATACCTCCATGTCTGTGGTGGCAAACAGATTTTTTTTATTAACGTGGGAAGTGTCAGCAGATTTTTCCGACTGACCTGTGGCATTTTTAAGTACAGTTGAGGTCAATTTTAGGAGGAAACCAGTTCTAGGATTTTATCGAAACACATCCACCAAGACTACACCAAATCCTGTTCTTGCAAGGGAAAACTAAAAACTAAAAGTGAACAATAAAGCTAAATTAAGCAGATTTCAAAATTAAACATCCTCAAACGCTCCTATGGAAGCCCCTGGGGTGATGAATGACACTCAAGGGAAAGGTAATACCAATCACGAAGATTAATTGCTACTTTTCTCATCCTTTGGTGAGATAACATCATTTCATTTCTTTTTGTGTATATTTTTCAAGCACTTGCACAGATGGTTGGAGACTGTCTGTCTGTCCTTCACTGGCGAGCGTACGTGTAGCTTCATCAGAAAGCACCCGGGCAGGTCCCTGTAAACACTGGATGTGGGACCTGATGAACCAGCTCTGCCTACATTGCTCTGCTTTGCCAAGGACCCTGCAGATTATTCACTGCACCGAGGGGGCTCGCTGTCCACCGGAAGGCACTGGGGCAGGGATGAACCTTGCCCGTGAATTCCAAAATGCCCAGGGAGTTTCTTCCAAAGAGTTAGCAGCAACTCATGCAAAAGAAACAGCATTTACAAGCTGAATGAGGATGTTCTGATGCATAAGATCTGCCCTCCCTCCCCCTCCCCCCTTTCCCAAGGAATGAAACTGCTGGCGAGTTTTAGAAGCAGCAATAGGATTGGGAGCGACTTAATCTCTTAGCCTGTCTATTACAGATTCCCACCAAGTAGATTTTCCCTCACAGATGTAAGCATATGATTTTAGGTTCAGAGTCCAGAGATCCCAATTCAGACTGGCGTGATGATCACAGATGTGTGATCCCAAAACAGACACAGAGAGAGGGGCGTGGGGAGCCCACTGAGCACCTTCATCCATCGGAAACCAGCTTCATTCAACCGGGAGCCTTTTTCATACCATTGAGACCACAACATTCAATGTTTCCCAGGATTACCGCAAACCATTCAAAAAAGATCTCTAAAATGTATAAATACACATTTTGGGGAAATGTGTATTTGTTTACTAGGTCTGAGGAAAGGTGAGGAGAGAAGGGGGAAAGTAATGACATTCTGCCATCCATTCTCTAGATGGCCAGAGGCAACATTCACAATGCACAGGTGAGAAGAAAGCTTGGTGGCCGCGTGCAGCTGGAATGCAGTCTATGTGAACCCATTTGACTTTCCTTAGAGGATGTGCCTTGGCCAATGATGGACTGTTCACATGCTCCACAGGGTGAAGTACTGAGTCAGAAAAAGTCTTTTGGCACCATCAGTGGGGTTATGAGTCAAAGCACAAAAATGAAGGGCTGCCAAACTGCGCAAAAGGAGGGGAGAAGGGGCTGAAAATGCCGAACTGAAGGAAAGAAAAGGTTGTTAATTCAAAAAAATTAAAAAAACTAACCAGATGTTGGACCGCCAAATATTTTGTAATCTGGTGTAGTTGAAGTAGGCAAAATTTCTAAAAGAATTAAAGGAACAAGTAATCAGTAAAAAAGTAACCAAAAGAAAGCAAAAATTTATGAATTCCAATTAACTAAAAAAGTCGAAAGGAAAGGCTACAAATGAAAAGATTAACCTACTGGTTAGACTACCTTTCTCTAGATTTCCTACAAAATTGTAAATGGTAAAGAAAAAAGAAAAAAAAAAGTAAAATTCTCTAAGGAAAAAAAAAAAAAAAGTAAGATGCTTCTCTAATGTATCCCCATGACCAAACAGCTCAGCTTTTGCGAAGTTTAAGTTAAATGCTAGGTGGTATGTGTCCTGAATCATTAAAAGGCTGGTTGTAAAATAATGTTCACGTGCAAATGTGGTCAAAAAGAAGGGCCGGAGGGCAAGGGCGATTCAGTCTTACCATCGCAGTCCCCGAGGTGGGCCGTGTTGCCGTATTCCGTGTCCTGTTCGTACCCTCCAGTGCTGTGGTGATGGAAAACAAAGGAGTCTTTGGTTAACAGCCTTCACAGGAACACAAGTGACAATGAGAGCAGAACCAAGAACATACATCTATTAGTAGTAGGAATGGGCCAAAAGGGGAAAATGGACATTTCAGCAGAGCTTGCTAACTGGAGTATTTCTGCTAAACATTTGGTAACGGGAATGTTTATGAGAGCAGAAGAGAACTGCCTATTTCCCTTAGGTATTACACTGTCTATAATCTCCCTTTCCTCTCACAGCTCCAGATTTTCCTTTTTTTAAAAAAAAAAAAAAATACTCTCCCCTAAAAACAAAAACAGGGGGGAAGGGAGAGTAGTGTTTTTGGAAGTTTTCTCAAATTTCTAGCTTTGCAGACCCTGGGGAAGATGGGAGCAGGTGTGGAGCTCTTGGCTAATGCGGCAAAGTATACTTACAGCATCCCTGGGGCGACTCTACCACAGGTCCCCTGGCTTAACCAGCCACAGTAGGGGTCTCGAGATGCAATACAAGACCTGCACAAAACCAAACAGAATGAAACTTGGATTTTCTTGTCATCAAAGGTCTTAATGCTGCACGACCCCAGGGTAAGAACAGAAACATCAGCTTACTTTTTACAGGATCCATAACGCTCGCAGCGACTGAGGGGCATGCGGATTACGCAGCTCGAGAATGCCACATACAAAGTGTGGTGATCTTTATCCAGCTGTAATGAGATGACCTTTCTGTCCTCCTCGTTCTCAGGATTACACCTGTCGTGTGGGATACGTTTTGAAGCCATACGTTTAGTAAGTCAAAAGCTACATGAACTATACAGAACAAGTGAGGTTTGCTTTTTAAAAAAATATATTTTATTGTTTTTTTACAGAGAGGAACGGAGAGGGATAGAGAGTTAGAAACATTGATGAGAGAGAAACATTGATCAGCTGCCTCCTGCACACCCCCTATTGGGGATGTGCCCACAACCAAGGTACATGCCCTTGATCAGAATCGAACCTGGGACCCTTCAGTCTGTAGGCCGATGCTCTATCCACTGAGCCAAACCGGTCAGGGCAGAGGTTTGATTTTTGCAATTACTGAGAGCTGGGGAGATCGTAAGGAATATTCTAGGTAGCAAACCAAGCAAGTACATAGTTTGGGAAATAATAATCCCATGATTCATCTTCTAGTGCTATACATGTTTGTTTTTAAGATTGCCTTCCCGTTCTGATGATTGAAGGGAATTATATTTGTGAAGACCATGTTGGACTGTAGAGGAAAAAAAAGATAATGTTTTAATGTCATTAAATCTTCCTGTGCTGGATGTTTCCCCTTCGTTTCTTTTGCTCCATTTCTCTCATCTATTTCTTGACTGTTTTAATGGTCTAAATAATCTTGTCTATCAGTGGTTGGAAGAATTACATTCTGTTTGTGCCTGTGTATGTGTGTGTGCTTGCCACTGTCTGCTGCATGTAGCATCCTGAAATTGATCTACCAGGTAGGATGGGTGGTGCTGAAATGCTCTCATCTTCCACAAGTGAAATACAAGGGCTGGATTATTTTTAAACTCATCAACTGCCCACCTCCAAGCTCCAGTGGACTCAGGAAGAAAACAAAGCCAGGATTTATTTCAGTGAGAGAAAAAAAAACAACAAAACCCAAAACACTAATATGCCAAACCACTGCTAATTCAGAGGGCTGGAAGGAAATGACTAGATGAAATAAAGTCCGGAAATTTTTGAGCAGTGCTGAAGAGTATTCTCGTAAAATATACCTACTTTGCATGGTTGTATGCTTCAATCTCTTCCAGTAATACGCTGTCATTCAGAGAGAAAGAACTGGTCTTTGCCAAAATTTTAAGTACCACGCCAGCTTCTGAGCCAACAAAGATGACAGTGTAGTTCTGGTGGGGTCCGGCAGAATGGTCCACGGCGATGGCTGTCAGCCTGTACCTGCGGGAGGAGGTGAGCCAGGTCAGAGGAAGAGGCCAACAGGAAGGACAGGTGTGAGTGGCAGGGGCCGCCATGTCTGCATAGCCTTACCTGATCCGAGTCTTTGTGAACCAGGGCTCCTCTGCAATGGGTGGGACGGCAGAGTCCATCAGGGGGTGGGATTTGATGAACAGCAGGGTCTCATCCGGGAAACCGATAGAGGTTTCATAATCTTCAGCAAGGCCATGCTTTGCACAACAGCCAGGCCTGCAAGGAAAACAGTGTGTGTTTCCCCCGCATCATCAATGGTATCTAAGGAATAAGTGTCCATTCTGAAAGAAGAGGTCAAGAGAAAAAGAAGAGAGAGCGGCACCTAGAGAGCAATGCTATTTCCCCGACTCGGGTGGGTTCTCCACCTGCTCACAGGACTGTGGGACTGACTCCTGTGTAGTCCTGCACAGCGACCCCTCCCAGCGAGGGAAGCTGGCCCAGCTGCTCAGTGAAGACGGATGCTTCCAGTGGCCAGATGGTTTTGTTAAAGACAAAAATCCCTTTCCACCCTTTTTCTTTACCTTGGCGTTGGTACTTTGTCTTCGGGGACTGCTGTCCAAACAGAATCTGGAGTTTTCTGTTCTTTAAATCGTCCTTTGAATACTTTCTCAATGTCATCCATGCTAAATGCACAGACAGCAGACCCAGGAATACTGAAAAAGGGGAAAACCATCAGAAAAACCGTCAGGCCACAACGGGTCTATTCGTGGGTCCCGCCAGCAAGGACAGAAGGTCTTTTGAGTTGCCAGGGATGTGATCTCACCTGTTGAGCTGTGTGGTGAACACCCCGACCACCGTGGGGATGCCATTGATTTGCATTATATTTGTAATAGACTGCAGGACATCGAAGTAGAAAAACGAATCCCCGGGGACGGAGCAGTTAAGCCGAGCCTTCAGAAACGAAGTCCAGTGTTTCTCCAGGACCCGCTGGGAGCCACCCATGTCGTTCTTACATATGCGGGCCACACGGGAATAGACAGCCTGCCCGAGGGACAAAGCAGAGGAAGGGGAGAGGGATGAAAACCAAAGCTGCTATGCATGGGAGGGACAAAAAAAGCTAAAGATGTATCTGGTTCAGAAGAATCTAGCAGTCTTCTCTCTAGGGAGCAGTAGACTAGGGGTGTAAGCTAGATTCCCCTGTGAGAAAAGGGGCCATTAACCTGTTCTGCCAAAAAAAGCACCCTTAGAAGTGAGCCCCTGACCTGGCTGAATGGAAACCATTCCCGCACTTTGTCTCCCACTTTGCTTCTCACGTTGCTAATGAAGTGCCCTCCTTAAGCCTGGCCCAGAAGGGGGGGCAATACTTTAAACTCATATGGGCTTTTCCCGAAGCACCCAAAACTAAACAAGGGCCTCTGCTTCCCATCCTGCCTCTGACACAGGGAAGCATTGAACTATCAATGGATGGCTAAAGAGTTAAAGAAGCATCCACAGCTCAAGGGTGCCTGCAGAGCCAGGAAACATGAAGTCTTCTCAAGGCCCGAGGCTGCTGTTCCCACCCAAGCCATTGCTCGGCAATTATTCTCATGATCAGCTGCCCATCTCTCTTCACTTGGCCCTAAACACAGTGAGAAAAACATGCAAAGGCCCCATCTCTACCAACATGGGCTCAATTCCATGCACAAGTCCACCAGACAAGTCACGCGCATATACTTGCCTTGCCTAAGTTATTATGTTCCACAGCAATCTCTCGAAAGAAGAAATAGACATAGTTTCCATATTCTATGGCATGAAGAAAGTGTGGTTCTGTAAGAAAATGAGAAACAAACTGGTTCTTAAAAGGTAATTCAATTAGTGTCTGACCCTGACTGCTAGGCATGACTGACAGATGTCACCGTAGCTACATTCACACCAATGGGAACTCGGACACGCTGACGAATTTGAGGAGCCCCGACATGGGTGAGCAGAAGCTCCAGAGGACACGGAGTCTTTAATGTCAGCTAATGGACTGTAAAAAGCCTACCGGGAACTGAACCATGGCAAAGGTCTTTGTTTCAACAGATTTATTCATTAACCTATTTAACTAGGGAAGAAAACCTCTCATGTTGAGAATTAAAAAATCTTGATTTCTAGACTCCAAAGAACAGAATGACTCTGCAGATATGACCTAATCGACTCTCACTGTTGTTACCTTCCAGGATAAGTAGATGAGCGTGGGCAAGGAGTATCATGCACATGGTAAGTTTGGCAAATTGGCACACTGAAATGGGATTTCTTTTTTAAGTCACCTAAGATAAAATCCTGGATGAGTCTACTTTCTTGCCTTGGCTATGGGTCTCTTCATTCCTTGTCAATGCTGTTATTCACAACCAAAGGAACTCATCCTTGCTCTAAATAAACAATATAAAGTCATGCATAGAATTTCCTGATGACCAGAGCTCCTGTTCCCACTCAGCCATCCCACTCCCCTTGGCGATCCCAGAGCACTGCTCTTCAAAGTTACCTTTTATCCACTTGGAATCATATTTTATTGTGCGAAGGGCAGATCCATCGCCCATGCTTCGGTAAATAACAGCATCACTGGCCAAGAAGTCAGCCACCGTGGCAGAATATAGCTTCCCATCTGAAACCAAAGTTATAATTTGAGTAAAATAACCACAATTACCCTGTAGTGTGTTGCCCTATGTAGTGTGGTATACTCTTTGGAGCGCTTTCATCTGTTATCCCCATATACAGAAATAAAGCTAAACATGATGCTCATAAGCAACCTTGGCCCATAGAATTACCTAATTTTACAGATGAGGAATCTAAGCATCAAAAAGTCAAGCAACTTATTCAGGGTCACTGGCCTAGTTAGCAACAGAACCAAGTGTCAGAATACTATATTATAATATGCCTACTTTTAATTATTTTTTGGAAAAAAATTTCATCGTTTTTAGATTTTGAAACACCAATTCCAAGGTCGCTATCCTAGTTATGAGCTCTTTTTCTTCCGTTAAATTCCTTCTGCACCTTCAATGTCATTACTCATTTATATTCATTATGCTAAAGAACCTTACCAGCAAAAAGGGCAACATTGGTTTGTTTGGCATCAAATGGGCATCTTGCCAGGCCACTAATGTCTTCCCCATCATACTCTAAGGTATTCAACTACAAAAGAAAAATAAATAGTTGGTGTCAAATCTGTTCAATGTACCTGTTTGAAGGCAATACTGCTTTATTTGTACTGAAATTCTATTTGAAGAATTCTGTCTTTATTCTTCCATAGTATTAGCCATAAAACAAATTATTAGGTTATAGCAGAAAGGATTCAACTTTGACAGCATACTAATGAAGAAAGGAAAATTGGTGAAAAAAAGCACAACATATAAAATATACTTACCCTATAGAATCTACAAATGGGATTAAACGCGTTGGTACCACATACAAAAACCATCTCATCGTTTCTTGGAACAAATACTTTGATAAAGTTGTGGCATTCATCCTATAGAAAGTAGCAATTACATTAATATTAGACGTTCCATACTCTGACATTATGGGATCAAGACCACAGAAAGACACAACAGAGCAGGCACCTGTCTGCTTTACTTACTTTATGTTTGCCTTTCATAGCACAGTTCTCTCGATCCTGTTGCTTTGACCGCCATGTCAGTTTCTGCAATTAATCAAGTAAAACCAAAGCTCAGTTTTGAAGTATGAAAATTCTGGGAGGGGAGGAGGACATTATCCAAGTTCTGAGGGAATGCAAGTAAATTTGCCAACGACACTAGCTTACCTTGCTCGGTATTACTTCTGTTTTGGGGATTTCATTTAAGTTTACTGTATAAACTTGATCCCTGTTGGAAACAAGGCAGTAAGTCATAGCATATGAATGCATAAAAATGTTAAGCTGCTTCTTATTTTATTTTTACAGATCTGCCTTTATTGTGTTTTGGAGATCATTCGGATTTTCTCTGTTTCCAGCAAAGTCAACAAAGGGTACTTTTTCATTAGTGGGAAGCTTTTATATATCACTGTGGTTAGGGAGCAAAGAAAGCTCTTCTCCTCAGGCGTGGGTCAAACTGCTACTAGCATTAGCATAGACATACTTCTAATATTTGCTCGAATAATTCCAAGTTAAAAAAGAATAACGAAAGATCCCCCCTGCTGCTTTAGGAATAAAGAGCGATGTATGATTTCTTGATGTCAGTAATAAAACAGCAGCGCTGAAGGTTGCTGCTCTGTGTTTTGTTCCTGGCACACAGCACTGGCTTTTCTCTGTGAATATTTTTGGCCACTTGCAATTTTTGATCACAATCACATATTAGTTTTTCATGAACTAGACACATTAATGCAAGCACCACGAGAGAAAAGAATTTTAATCTAATAAACCAACGAGAGGAAAATTACCTGCCAGCAATATAAAGTGTGTCTCGAATTTTCAACATCAGCTGAAAGTCCAGCCGGTGCTGCGATTCATTGCCTGAAGGGCGTCCTCTAAAAACCGGATATTGCCTTGAATCTGCAAGTAAAAATGGGCTAAACCATCAGTCAGGATTACGGAGCTAAAGAATCAATAGACAGCATTGATTAGCTGTATATACTAGTTGTAGAAGGGTTTTAACTAAATTCCTCTCTTCGGGTCTTGAATATAAATGAATCAAAGCCGGTAAATGTCAGCAAATGGTCTTTTTCTTTTAACAGAAAATACATAACCTGTATATGGGCTGTTATAGAAAAGCACCCAACAAAACTGTCCCATTTTTCCAAACACAACTGTGGATAAATTAATAGGCAAAACATGTTTAAGGCATATAAAATCTCTTTCTAAAAGCGAATAACACTTAGAAAAATCAAAACCAAAAAAGCTTCCTTCCTAGAAAAGGAGAATGTTCTGTAGATTACTTACAGTGATAGTCAACAATATTAAGGGGCTCATCATCCTCAGGAAAGCTGACTGCCCTCAGCTGGGAGATCATCAGGAGCAGCATGTAGGCACAAAGCAGGAAGAACCTCATGGTGGGCCAAGGTCAAGTCAGAGCAGCCCCTCCTCAGAAATCCCACTTAACTACCTAGAAAACAGGAAGAGTTTGGAAAGACCTCTATGCTGGGATGAACCTGTTTTCTTATTTGTAATCAGCTCAGTTTTCACCACCAGCTCTCTCCAATGCCCTCCTCCCACCAGGAGCCCTGGCCGCGGTAAAGGAGATATCTCTGAAAACACAGGCAAAAGATGGCAGCATGCCAGGCCTGATTACAGCATCTGGTGAGCACATGGAAGTTTTAGGTACATTTGCAAGAGTTTTTGAGGTAACTATGTATGGCATCACAGCAAAATCCCCGGAACCACCAATAGACATGCTGGCTGCTGACTTGGCAAGAAGATGGGCAATGTTGGGATTAGAATTTTAATTAAACTCCAATCTGCTTCCCTGCCCCCAGCCCTGAAATACATCCAGTACAGCTTGCCTCTGCCCCTCGTTGGATGCACAGGCTGCTTCCCAAAGAGCTGGAGAGCTGATGTTCCTGTCCCCTCATCTGATCGCTGCTTAAGGCATTGCCAAATTCCCAGCATTGTTCAAGCCTTAGCCCAAAATTCTTAAGTAGAACAGTTCCTCAAGCTTCGTAACACCAACAAGAAGCAATGGCATGAATGACCTTGAATCAGGGTGAAAGAGTATGAAAAGAAATTAAATGATTTCTCGATCAATCAATCAAGCAAAGCAGGGCAGGGATGAAACAGCACAGCTGCCGCCAGACCACTGGGGATGTCTACATATTTACATAAAACCATTTGGACACAAACCAATACACTAAGTACGTCTGTCCTCTAAGCTTTATTGAACTTTAGAACCATCGGGGGCCTTAGGGACCATCTAGTCCAACCTCCTCATTTTTCAGATGAGAAAACTAAGGGCTGGAAAAATGAAGGGGCGCACGGAATTTCATGGAGCTATTCAGGAAATGAGTCGAGTCCAGTCCAGACTCACATCACCTGAGTCCCCTCTAGGCTCTTTTCATCAAATTAGATGATGGGTTTTTTCTTCACTATAGCATTACAAAACATCTTTTGGGGATAATAAATACATTTGTTATTTTTATTGAAGTGGTGTTCACAGGTGTATGCATATGTTAAGTGTTATCAAAATGTACATTTGCATATGTGTAATATATTGTATGTCAATATCTCAACTAAAATTATAGCATAGTATAATATTAGATGTCAATTTTTAAAAATCTTTAAATGGTATCCATTTATTAAAAATATAAATTAGGGCCCTGCTGGGCCAACAAGATGGGTATTTTTGTGAAACTGTAAATGCTTCACTTTGCAATAATAATACTCCTTCCTTGACCAAAACTGTCACTTACAACTACTGTACCAAACTGTAAGACATTAAGACTTATCTTCATTTCATATATCCAAGAACTTTAGGGGAGAGGATGTGAATCACTTCAAATTCTGGGGGAGTCCAAACACTCAACCAGGTACTTATTATGCCTCTTTTATCATCTTAATGTCCAACACACTGATGCACATGTATGCTATGCTATGCTTTCAATATTTATCTTTCCCTAAAGTCAAAAGCCAAGTCTATGTGAATTTTAGAATCCTACTTCTACACAAAAAGAGAAAAATATTGCAATACAATTTTTCTTAATGAATAATTAATCCAACAGTAAGTTAGCAGGATCTGGGCATCATCATTTTGTACTCAGTTGAAAGAGTGTGGGCTTTGCTGGCATTCTGACTTGTTGGAACTCCATCACTTACTAGCTGATTGACACAGGAAAGGTTTTTTAATCTCTTTGAGCATTAGCTTCCTTATCTCTAATGTGTGGATAATACCACCTTCTCCATAGAATAAAAAAGAACTAAATGCCAGGTGTAAACAGATTCTGAGCAGTTAGTCCTTCTAATCCATTTAAATATATATATATTTTTATTTACTTCAGAGAGGAAGGGAGAGGAAGAGAGAGATAGAAACATCAATGATGAGAAAGAATCATTGATCGGCAGCCTCCTGCATGCCACACACTGGGGATTGAGCCTACAACCTGGGCATGTTCCCTGACCTGGATGGAACCATGACCTCCTGGTTCATAGGACAACGCTCAACCACTGAGCCATGCCAGCTGGGTGTTCTTACCCATATTTTACTGGACACCATGCATATGACCAGGATGATCCTAAGAGTCCGAGAAGGGTCTGGGAAAAGGATATTAAAGCTGTTTGGCCATTTCTCCCCTGCTCCCCCAAATGAATAGTTATTTTAAAATACTAAAGGGTTATTTTTAGAATAAATTTTACAATTTGAGCCCTTATCAAACCTGGAAAGGCAAGTAAAAAATACAAACCAACAATCCTATCATCTTAACCCAACAACAATGCTGACTTGGTTCTAGTCTTCTTGCCACATGCACCTATTTTCAATCACGGCAAGATGACCTCTTTCAACCTACCACTTCTCCTGAAGCAGCGTCTATCCATCTGGCTTTTCCACAGTGTCTTGCCATTTATAAAGACCCCAGAGAGTTGAAGCAGTATAAAAATACAAAAGTGTTGCCCTAAGAACCAAATTCGGTTATGACATTAATCCCAAGCTTCATTCTCTGTCTGAAGTCAAATCACTGGATGTTTTTTGCAGGGTATTGGGGAAAATTAAGAAACAGCAACCACTCCTGAAGAAACTTAAAAATAACTGTGTGAAGACAAGAAGACAGTTCTGTGAATCTTTCTTCACCAGGACTGGTAACTGAAAGGCTCACTTCACGTAGGCAGAGCCTTGAGGCCCCAGACAACCAGGCAGCGAGTGGCCTCACCTGGAGCAGTGTCTGTCACAGCTTGATTCCAGCATTGACATTGAGGGTGGACTCACTGCTGACTCATTGGCAAGTGCCAAGCTGCAGGCTGAGTCCCATTTCCTATAACTCATTCAGGTGACACGCAGAAAGCAATTTCTCCTCAGACCCCGCCCCCCACCAATCTCATCCTCCAAAAATAAAACCCCATCACTAATTGCTTCCTTTTCCTGCAAAAAAGCTTCACTTTTTAAAAAGAATTACTTTTAGACTTGCCATAGAAATTATAAGTGGAAGTATTTAATGTAAAATGTATATCAAAGTAAGGTTGATTTCGGGGAGGAAAGGATCTGGAAATACCTGAAAAAGAGGTCCCAGGAAGGAGATTTATTGCATGCAAACCCTCTCAGACGACAGAGTTCTTACCTTATTTAAGGAAATATCTCAGAATTCTAGGACTCAGTAAACTCATGAAACTATGCTATGTTGAAAGAGGGCCAGTTGAGGCAGGACAAAATGTTGGAAAAGGTCATAGACCTTGAGATTAGAATAATCCAAGTTTAAACTTACTTGTGCCATTTACTTCCCAGCTCTGGGACTTTGTTTAAGTACACTTAACCTCTTTAAGCTTCAGTTTCCTTAAGTGTGAAGTAGAAATAATTATTTTTTCTACCTTATAGGCTCTTCCAAGGATTAAATGATATAATCCTATATAATAAAAGCCTAATATGCAAATCAACCAAAAGGCGGAACGATCAGTTGCTATGACACGCACTGCCCACCAGGGGGAAGACACTCAACACAGGAGCTTCCCCCAGCCTGCAGGCCCCAAGCCAGCCAAAGTGGGTGCCAGCGGCTCCCCCGCCATTGCCCCGTCGGTCACCCTGCAGAGGGAGGTGACCTGTGGCAGAAGCAGGGGGCGAGGCTGTCGAGCAGGTGGCACCAGGCTGGCCAAGGCGGGTGCTAGTGGGGGCCCCCTGATCACCCCACCGTCACCCCACAGATCAGCCCTGATCACCAGCCAGGCCTAAGGAACCCATGCACAAATTTTGTGCACTGGGCCTCTAATATAATATATATATATATATATATATATATATATATATATATATATATATACTGTGGAAAACCTGGTCCACAGTAAATCTCTAGTAAATTTTTATGAATATTATCATGACTATTATTGTTATATTTTACTGGGAAAAAATGCAAATTCACGGGGGGGGGAGGGGAGAAATGTTTACTCTTGCATCTTGTACAACTATTTGCAAAACTGTTTACATATGTCATCATAACAATGCTAGGGGTGTTCCAGGAGGATTAAGGTACAGCTTCCTAGATGTAGATGCCTCCAAGGAGGAGGAGGGAATAACATAATAACACCAAATATGTTATTCCTTTCAGTCAGAGAACAGTGAAACTTCAGTATATTTTGTAATTTTTGTTATTATATGAGCTTCTCCATACAATCCTGATGTTAAAGCCACTTTATAATGTGAAAAGCACTTAAAAGGAGTTCAGAGCTAACAAGACAGCCAGGGTTTGAGTGGCAGAATCCTTACTTAATGGTGGTGGAAGAAAATGAGCCCCACACCTAGTACTTGAGTTCACATTAAGGAATTTGCTAATTCTTAAACTGCCTAAACATGAAAGGATAGTTATAAAGAAAAGCCAAAAGCTTTGCGGTCTCAAGTTTAGGACCCACCAAGAAGGAGGCGTTCTAGTAAATGTCTAAAAGGCTCTCATTTGGACCTCTGAAGATCTATATCCCCAGGAGAAGAGGCAAACATGTGATAGACCAAACCTTACAAAACTCCAACTTGATCTCCGATAAGCTAAGTGCTAGATTGGATAGATGTCATCTCCTCCTACTCTAGCTACTTGCAGAAAAGATAACGTGAATCTTCTGTAGAGAAAAGTAAAATCATCCAGAGACTATAATTTTTATAAAATGCTCAATATTCAAGCAGCAATTACTAGACATTTCAAGAACCAAGACTAAGAAAGAAAGAAAAAAGATAATAGAAATAGGCCATAGGTAACCCAGGTATTAGAGTTATTTGACATAAATTTAAAAAAAATAACTGTTTATTTTGTCTAAGAAAAAAAAGATAAGACAGATTTTACCAGAGAAATTGAATCTATTTAAAATTAATTAAGTAAAAATTATACAACTAAAAAACACAATAATTAAAGCATCTTAATATATATATATTTTTAGCAACATATTTCTTGTAGCTAAAGAGAGAATTTGTCAACTGGAAGCTGG